GCATAGCGTACCCGCGCCCGATTCGGCACACCCCTCACGCGTTTCGTGGTCCTACAGGGAGACCCATCGAAGGACGAAGCGGCAGGGTCCGCATGGCCAAACCGCGCCTACGTCGACGCACCACTCACACGTTTCGTGGCCCCGTAGGGAGCTGCATCGAAGGTCCCAGCGACAGCGTCCGCATGGAGTACCCGCACACAATCTGGCAGACCCCTCACACGTGTCCCGCAGCGGTAGGGTCCGCAAGGCGTACCGGCGCCTGATTCGACACATTGTTCACATGTTCAGGGCTCCCATAGGGAGATCCATCGAAGGCCCCAGGGGTAGGGTCCTCATGGCGTACCCGTGTCCAATCTGACACACCCCTCACACGTTTTGTTTCCCCGCAGGGAGCTTCATCGAAGGTCCCAGCGGCAAGGTCCGCATGGCGTACCCGCGCCTACTTCGATTCACCCCTCACTTGTTTCGTGTTCGTCCCACAGGGAGGTCCATCGAGGGCCCCAGGGGTAGGGTTCTCATGGCGTACCCGTGCCCGATTCGGCGCACCCCTTTCACGTTTCGTGGTCACATGGGGAACTCCTTCGACGTCCCCAGCGGCGCGGCCCGCATGGCGTACCCGCGCCTACTTCGATACATCCCTCACATGTTTCGCGGTCCCTAATTGAACTCCATCGAGGGCCCCAGGTGCAGGGTCCTCATGGCGCACCCGCGCCCGATTCGGCACACCACTCACACAGTTCATGGCCCCGTCGGGAGCTCCACCGACAGACCACAGCGGCATGGCCCGCATGGCGTACCCGCACCCGATTCGACGCACCCTTCACGTTTCGTGGCCACATAGGGAGCCCCACCGACAGACCCAGCGGCAGGGTCCGCATGGCGCACCCGCGCCTAAGTCGGCACACCCTGCACACGTTCCGTGGCCCCAGAGGGAGCTCCACCGAAGGCCCCAGCTGCAGGGTCCTCATGGCGTACCCGCACCAGATGTGGCACACCGCTCACACGCTTCGTTTCCACAAAGGGAGCTCCACAAAGGGACCCAGGGTAGGGGCATCTTGGACAGGGGCATCTTGGACAACGCAGACCGTTTGCTGGTCCCCCTTCTCCAAGTCACTTGCCCCGCGATACTCGCAACTGCATATGGTCAGGATCCTCCGCCGTGTTAATTTTGGGCGTTGTGTGCCCTTTCTGGGCCTCTGGGGGGGCTTCTCGTCGCCGGGGCTAGATCCGCGTCGAGATTCCGGCCAGAGCGCACCCCAGAACAGGTCCAGGGTCGACTTGTCAACCCTGAGCCCTGACATCCTCGCATGTCGAAAAACAATCACGACGCAACAAATCGGGCAGTGTTCGGCCTATGGGGGCCCTTGCTGGGCCCCGGGGGCGTCAACCGGACGGCTCCAGATGGAGAGCTAGATCTGGGGAAGGGGTCGGGAATTCTGGGGGCCCAGTCTTGAACAAAATCAGAACATCTGAGAAGATCAAGGCTGGCCGCCGCGAGCAAGCATGTGTGTGTTTGATGGAGAGGAAGGGCAACATCAAGGCCGGCGCCGACGGTCCAGCTCGGGGGCCACTTCAGGGAGGATAGGTTCAATGGGGACGCATCGGCCGGCAATCGTCCATTGGCCGCCGATGGAGGCCTCATGGCCCAGCTCCCCCTGAGCCAGTCCCCCCCCCCCTATCGCTCCCCCTCACCAATTGGGTCAGCCAAAACACCGGGCCCTGCAGAATCCTACAGCGCCGTGTATTTGGGCGGGGTCACCAGACTGGTCCTGGCGCGCCAGACCCAGCCACCTGCCCGAAAGTACGTTGAGTAACTATTGATGCCGCGGATGTAAACGAGGGGGGAGTAGGAGGAGGAGGAGGAGGAGGAGGAGGAGGAGGAGGAGGAGGAGGAGGAGGCGGAGGCGGAGGCGGAGGCGGAGGCGGAGGCAGAGGGAGGAGAAGGAGGAGAGGAGGAAGAAGGAGGAGGCGGAGGTGGGAGGAGGAGGAGCAATGGAGGCAATGGAGGAGGCGGAGGCGGAGGCGGAGGCGGGGGCGCGGGGCGGAGGCGGAGGCGGAGGAGGAGGAGGAGGAGGAGGAGGAGGAGGAGGAGGAGGATGAGGAGGAGGAGGAGGAGGGGGCCCTGGCCACGGCCCCCCCGCCCCGTGGGAGCGGCCGAGGTCTGCGCGCCGCTCTCACGGGAGCCGTCCTTTTGATGGACGGCAGGAGACTGCGCTGGCTCCCGATCGCAGAGCTCCAGACGGCGCGGGCGAACACGCGTCTGCCGCCAGAGGAGGAGGATGAGGATGAGGATGAGGATGAGGATGCTGCTGCTGCTGATGATGCTGATGCTGATGCTGATGCTGATGCTGATGCTGATGCTGATGCTGATGTTGGTGTTGTTGTTGTTGGTGTTGTTGTTGTTGGTGTTGTTGTTGTTGTTGTTGCTGTTGGTATTGTTGTTGTTGGTATTGTTGTTGTTGTTGTTGTTGTTGTTGTTGTTGTTTTGTTGTTGTTGTTGTTGTTGTTGTTGATGATGATGATGGCGATGATGATGATGCTGATGATGATGGTGATGGTGATGGTGATGATGATGATATTGATGCTGATGATGATGACGATGATGATGATGATGACGATGATGATGATGATGCTGATGACGAGGATGATGATGACGATGAATGATGAGATGAAGAGGAGGAGGAGGAGCATGAATAGGGCGGCGATGAGCAGGGCGAGGGGGAGGGGCAAAGAAGAGGGGGTGGATGCGGAGGATCTTACTGCAGAACATCGAGTACGAGGAGTAGGAGGAGGAGGCGGAGGTGGGAGGGGAGGGGAGGAGGAGGAGAGGAGGAGGAGGAGGAGGAGGAAGAGGAAGTAGGAGGCGGAGGAGTGATTAGGTGGAGGAGGAGAAGGAAGGAGGAGGAATGGACGAGGAGAAGGAGTGAAGGAGAGGGAGGTGGAGGGGGGTGAGGATGGATGAGGAGCGAGAAGGCGAAGTAGGAGGGGAGTGTGGAGGAGGAGGAAGTAAGGAGGAGGAGGGAGGAGTAAGGAGGAGGAGGAGGAGGAGGAGGGAGGAGGCGGAGGAGGAGGAGGAAGGAGTAAGGGAGGAGGGAGGAGGAGGAGGGGAGGCGAGGAGGAGGACGAGGAGGAGGAGGAGGAGGCGGAGGAGGCGGCGGCGGCGGAGGAGGCAGCAGCTGCCCCATCGCCCAGCGGCCCAGTGGTGTCGGACAGCCACAGAGCCAACTGGAGCCAGCAGGAGGGAGGAGAAGGAGGAAGCAGCGAGGGGGGGCGAGGAGGAGAGGGAGGGGGGGAGCGAGGGCGAGGAGGAGGGGGGAGGGGAGGAGGCAGCAGGGAGCGAGGAGCCCCCCCCTTCCCCCCCCCGCGAAGGCCTCCGAGGCCGCCGAGCCGACCGCCAGGAGCGAGGGCGAGGGCGCCTCGCCGCCCGGCGCCGGCGCGGCCCGCCCGCCGCCGCACGCCGACGGCGACGGCCAGGCGGCGCCGCGCCGCCGCCGCCGAAGCTCGGCAGGTGCAGCCCCGGAGGTGTTCCGACCGGCTTTGGCCTTGCTTGGTATTTTTTCGCGGGCGTGTGCACTTTTTCTCTATTGGCAACACCACTTCGCTCTCTCTCCGGGACTTCGCCCCCGGCTCCTGTCCAAGGCATGTCTTTTCCTGTGCAAGTTCTTCGGCACCGCCTGTACCCCGCACCCTCCGGCCGCCTGAGGCCCCGCCCGTCCGCGCCCTGTCTCCCCAATTAGTGTTTCGCGCGCCCCGCCTAGCTCTTAACCGGAAGAGGCCCGCTCCCGACCCGCCGACTCACAAAAAACACTTTTTTTCGGCGTTGCCCATCGAGGAGCCTCCCTTCGGCACGAGCGAAATTGGCACGGAGAGCATAGGCACAATGCCCAACAGCAGCTCCTGCTCCTGTTCATTTTGAACAGGACTCGCTGTCCGCGCCGCGGTGGCTGTGTCCGTTTGAGACAGAAGGCCGCCTGCCCAACAGCGGCCGCTGTTGGTTTGGGACAACATTTGTTGTTGGGCGTTGTGCCAATTTTTTGGCGTACCCATTTCGGGCGTCCACATTTTTGCTCATCGAGCAAGAAAACACCGCGAAGCCGACACATGCACGGGACATGGACGTTCGAGCGACGGCAAGTCCCGGACCAAGGGGGGCCTCCCAGGCCGCGCCCAGGAGGAATACCATTTCAGACCCAGGGTTTTTGGGACTCCCCCTGGGCGTTCCAGTTGCTCTGTTGATTTCGAAGACGAAGCAACGCCATCAACATACACTTGTGGCCTTCCGCGCGGCGTTCTTGGACCTGCGCAGGCCCCCCCCCCCGGCGGCGCCTCCGGCGCTGCCCTTGGCGCGCTCCGCGCGCCAGGGAGGAGGTCCAGCGCAGATCCAAGAAATCCGCGCGCAGCGCCGAAAGTTTGTGTTTATGGCGTTGCTTTTTCCTTTTTCTTCTTCTTCTTCTTCTTCTTCTTCTTCTCCTCCTCCTCCTTTTTCTTCTATTCGAGGGCACCCAGGGCATCTCCGCGCGCGCGAACTAAGTATGTGGTTGACCTTTGGCCAGAGGTTCTAGTGCCGGCACGCCTTTGGCCCGCTGGGCCAGCTAGTGCAAGGCTGACTCAAGCACATGGTGAGGCGACGGCTTGGCCGACTGCTGCACCTACGGTAGCCATCGACAGGATATCCGCCAGGGTTTCCTCATCCGCCTACTCTTCCTCCGCCTCCTCCTTCTCAACAACCTCCTCCTCCTCCTCGTCCTCCCTCTCCTCCTCCTCCTCCTCCTCCTCCTCCTCCTCCTCCTCCTCCTCCTCCTCCTCCTCCTCCTCCTCCCATTTTGGCTCAAGCGATCGCATGGCTCTGCCTCGCGCCTCTCCGCGCGATGGCGGCGCCTAGAGGGGCCGGTTCGGGCCTCGGCTGAGGCCAAGAGTCCTCGCCGCACGGTGGCGGCGGTAGCGCGCGCAGCTTGCGCGGCCGTGGCGAACGCATTGGCCGCGCCGCCCGCGCCGCCGAGGCTGCTCATGGTGAAGATGCTGCGGCGCCAGCTCGCCCGCCTTCCGAGGCGAAGCTGGCGCGGCGCAAGCGCCGCCGTCAGGCCCTGGCGGCCAGGCGGCGGGCGACGGCGGCTGGTTTTGCTGGAGCTGCAGGCGCGCCCGCGCCCGCGGCGGAGGTAGCAGCGGACGCCATGTTCGTGGAGGCGAAGACCTCGTTGCTCGATGACGTCTGGGCTGATACGCCTACTTGCCCGTCGGCGCGGCGGCGAAGGGCGCGGCTGGCCCGGGCTGCGGAGGCGGCGGAGGCGGCCTCGTGTGTGGCAGCTGGTGCTGCCGGGGGCTTGGCGGCTGGTGCTGCTGGCCCTCGGGAGGGTGCTGCCGCGGCGGAGGCGGAACCAGTTTCTGGCGGAGCTGTCGCCGCGGGCATGCGCGACGTGGGCGAGCAGGACGAGCGCGCGGCGGCGTTCGCCGAGCTCGTGGACTGGTTCTCCGACCCGTCCGCTACCGAGGGCCTCTCCTTCCTCACGCTCGCCCAGCTGCGCGCCGTCGCGGTGCAAAAGCGGAAGGTGACGTGAGCGCCCCCGTGGGCCCCGCGGGCAGCACGTGTGCGTCATTAGGCGCGATTGCTGTCCCGTGGGTGATCCCTCGGCGGCCCTTCCTCGGCGGTCGGCGGCACGCGTGCGCCACTGGGCGCGGTTGCCGTGCGGCCGTCGAGGCTCCACATGCCGAGACGGCTTCGTGATGCACCTGGCCGCTCTCTGCATTGCGCCATTGCTCCTCCTCCTCCTCCTCCTCCTCCTCACTCCTCCTCCTCCTCCTCCTCCTCTCCTCCTCCTCCTCCTCCTCCCTCCTCCTCGTCCTCCTACTCCTCCCCCTCCCTACATTATCTCCTGTTCTTTCAGTCCCTTTCCATGTTTCGCCCTCCTCCTCCTCCCCCACCGTTTTCCCTCCACCCTTTCTTTCTCCTTCGCTCCCCATCCTCCTCCCACCTCCCTTTTCCCCCCTCCCTCCTCCCCCTGCCTCCTCCCAGGTCCTCCGCCGCCCTCGCCCACGCCGCCCGCGCGCACCGCCCCCCCCCGAACGCATACACGCCCCACGGAACACGCCGCCCACCCGCAGCCCGGCCCACAGGCCGCCCACCCGCAGTCCAGCCTCGCCGCCGGCGCGGCCCCCGCCGACGAGCCGCCCGCCGCTGGCAGCAGCGACCAGGCGGCTGCCGCCGCCAGTGGCCCACGGCGGCCTCCGGCGGCCTTCGACGGCGGCGCGGAGGGCCGCAGCGGCGTCCAGCCGTTCGTCGGCCGCCGGGCGGCGCCGTCGGCGTTCGCCGCTCGTTGGCGCCGCCGCCGTCTCCGTCACGGCCGCCGCCGCCGTCGACGTCGTCGCCGTCGTTGCCGTCGTTGCTGTCGTTGTCGTCGCCGTCGGCGGCGGTTTCGTCGTCATCGTCGCTGTCTTCGTCTTCGTCCTCTTCGTCCTCCTCCCCCTTCTCAATCTTCTTCCTCGCCGCTCCCTGTCTTGCTCCTTCCCGGTGGCCTCTAGCTCTTTCCTACAATCCCCCGTGAAACTTGACGCAAGTTCTGCCGATCCCCCCTCGCCCCCAATTTCAATGTTCAGTTGCGCGCGCGGCGCGGCGCGCGGACGCCGTCGGAAAATTTGAGGTCGCGCGCGTCGGCATCAGCGTTGAAATTTGGGGGTCTGGGGGCGCCGGCGCGGCGCGGGAAAACTTGCGTCGAGTCTCGCGGGGGGACGGTCGCGCGACCCCAGTCGTCGTGTTTTTTTTCTGGCGCGCTCTTGACAATCAGTGGTCCTTCGCGGGGGCGCCCTTCAGTCCGCCGCCCCGCGGCGCGCGCGGCTGCGCCGTGCCCGCGCGCGCCTCACTTGGGGCCCCCCCGGCGACCCCGCCGCGCCCGGCGCGCCCCGCACCACTGGCGAGCCCGTGCGCGGCGCGCCTGGTGCACCTGGCGGGCCGGACGCACGCGGCGAGGCGCGCCTCCTCCTCCTCCTCCTCTGCCTCCTCCTCCTCCTCTGCCTCCTCCTCCTCCTCCTCCTCCTCTTCCTCCTCCTCCTCCTCCTCCTCCTCCCTCCTCCTCCTCCTCCTCCTCCTCCTCCTCCTCCTCCTCCTCCCCGCCTCCTCCTCCTCCTCCTCCTCTGCCCGCATTCTCAGCAGGCCGCCCGCCCTCGCGCCTCCCCCCCCGGACGGATGACGATCTCCACGCGCGCGAGCGCTCCCAACGATGCCGCCGACCGCCCGTTGGGCACCAGGGGCTTCGTGGGCGGAGCCCGACCGGGGAGCTGGAGCCCTCCCCGGTTCGCGTTGCCGTGGCGCCTTCGTCTTGGCATCGCTCGGACGTGTGCTTTTTCTTTCTGCGAGGACCATCGAGGAGCATCCTTGATCGTTTGGCGAAAAAACACGCACGAAACCGAACAAAAACACAGGGAATGGACGTCCGAGCGATGGCCAGTCGTGGCGGCGCTGCTCCAGGAACGCGCCGGGTCTGCTGGGCCTGTTTCTTTCTTTCCAGTTGCTAGTGAGTTGCCATATCGTTGCGAAGTTGTTGCTATATATATATATATATATATATAGGTGTTTCTCCATTTCCCAGTCGCTTCCATGCAAAATGCATAACGAGCCTTTGTTAATACAGGAGAAGAAGCGATTCGCAATTAGAGAAAACATATATTGCAACCAATTCGCAGCTGCATGGCAACTGAATAGCACTTTGATAAACACGCAGGCCGGCATGCAAGGTGTCTTCTTGCCAAGCTGTCGCGCGCCGCGCTCTCTTCAAGGCGCCGGGTGGGCCGCGGAAGGCGCGCCGGCGGGCCGCGGCGGGCAAGTCGCGATTTGCCCGCGAGGGGCTGGCCAGAGTTCCTCTTTCCCTGTCAGCCCGCCAGTGCCCGCCCAGCGGTCGTCGCCTTCGCTGCCGTCGACGTCGGCGTCGCGGACGTTGTCTTCGCCGCCGCCCCGCCCCCCCCCCCGCGAATCTTAGCCCAAGTTTTGCCGACCCCCCTCGCCCCCAACTACAATTTTCAGTTGCGCGCGCGCGGCGCGGCGCGCGTCGGCATCAGCGTTGAAATTTGGGGGTCTGGGGGCGCCGGCGCGGCGCGGGAAGAACTTGCGTTGAGTTTCGCGGGGGGGGGCACGCTCATCCTTGGCATCGCTCGGATGTGTGCATTTTTCCTTCGACCAGGACAATCGAGGAGCATCCTTGACCATTTGGCAAAAAGACCACGCACGAAACCGACAAAAAACACAGGGAATGGACGTCCGAGCGATGGCGCTCATCCTGTCCCCGATCCTGCTCCTTATCCTGCCTTGTTTTCCCCGAGAGGGTGAAGCTGGGCGCGCGTTGCCGAGCTTGGCGCGGGCCTTCGTGGCACGCGCGGCCCATGATCAGGAGTGAAAGTAGGCGCATATACAAGTAAACGTCGAATCCCGGGAACACAAGGGGAACTATAGCAGGTGGAGGGAAGACGAAAGTCCAGAACGCATGGACACGCGTTGGGAATCCTGGAGCGCGCGGCGATTTATGAGCGTCTCCCCGGGCCCCTTCGCATGCACCAACTATAGGGCCAGTCGCCGAGGATCCTTTGTCAGCGGCGCTGTTCAAGGGCCGGCTTAGTTGCGTCTCCAGCGAGGGGCGTTTGGCATCGTGGTCGCGTCCTTTTTGTCCGCCTCTGTACCCCTCGGCGAGCCCGATCGTTGCAGCCCCCTTGATCTATCGTCCACGTTGAGGCGGCCTCTCGCGCGAACGACAGGGGCGCCGCGGTTTTGGTCGAGGCGGCGGACGGGATCACCTCCGCGCTCCAACCTCAACTTGCTGCGGAGGCCAATTCCTTCCGAGGTCAATTGTGTTATATGTTTTGCGCGCCGTCGCTCGCAATCAATATCTGCCGATATGGCCGCCGGGTCTCAAGTTGCCTGGCAGATATGAGGATGGGCTGTCTGGCGTCTGCCTGGGTCGATTTGCCGTGCACGGGAGATCATGCTTTCCCGGACAAAGCTTGTTTGGCTCGTGTTGCCGCTCATGCATTTTGGTGCAGTTTGTCACGTGACCGCCTCCTCATTGCGGTGTGGAGGCGGAACGCAGTGTGTGCGGGTGTGGGTGTGGGTGTGGGTGTGCGTGTGCGTGTGCGTGTGCGTGCGTGCGTGTGCGTGTGCGTGTGTGTGTGTGTGTGTGTGTGTGCGTGTGCGTGTGCGTGTGCGTGTGCGTGTGCGTGTGCGTGTGCGTGTGCGTGTGCGTGTGCGTGTGCGTGTGCGTGTTCGTGTGCGTGTGCGTGTGCGTGTTTGTGTCTGCGTGTGCGTGTGCGTGTGCGTGTGCGTGTGCGTGTGCGTGTGCGCGCGTGTGCGTGCGCGTGCGCGTTGGGCGTGTGTGCGTGTGTGCGTGTTTTACGTGTGGTGTGTGTGTGTGCGTGCGTGTGTGTGGTGTGTGGATTTGTGTGTGTGTTGTGTGTGCGTGTGTCCGTGCGTTGCGCGTGCGTGCGTGCGTGCGTGCCGGTGCTTGCGTGCGTTCACGTTCGTGGTGTACTGCGTGCGTGCGTGCCGTGCGTGCGTGCGTGCGGGCGTGCGTGTGCGTGCGTGAGTGCGTGCGGTGGTGGGTGTGTTGTGCGTGCGTTGTCGTGCGGTGTGAGTGCGTGCATGCGTGCATGCGTGTGCGTGTGCGTGGTGTGTGTGCGGTGTGCGCGTTGTGTTTGGTTGTGTGTGTGTGTTGTGTCGTGTGCGTGTGTGTGTGTGTGTGTGGGCGTGGGCGTGTCGCGTGTCCGTGTGCGCGTGTGCCCATGTGCGTGTGCGTGTGCGTGTGCGTGTACATGTGCGTGCCGAGCGTGTGTGGCGAAGCGTTTGTTGCGAGCGTGTGTGCGTGCGTTCTGTTGCGCGTGTGTGTGTGTGTGTGTGTGAGTGTGCGGTGTGGTGGCGTGTGTGTGGTGGTCCCCCTGTGTGTGTGTGTGCGTCATGTGTCTGTGTCTGTGTCTTTTGTCTGTGTCTGTGTTTGTTGTGTCTGTGTCGGTGTCTGTGTCTGTGTCTGTTCTGTGTGTGTGCGTGTGCGTGTGTGTGGTGTTGCATGTGTGTTGAGTTTGTGCGCGTGTGCGCGTGTGCGTGTGTTCGTGTGTGTGTGTGCGTGTGCGTGAGCGTGTGCGTGTGCGTGTGTGTGTGTGCGTGTGTGTGTGTGTGTGTGTGACTGTGTCTGTGTCTGTGACTGTGACTGTGTCTGTGTCCGTGTCTGTGTCTGTGTCTATGTCTGTGTCTGTGTCTGTGTCTGTGTGTGTGCGTGTGTGTGTGTGTGTGTGCGGGTGTGTGTGTGTGCGGGTGTGTGCGTGTGTGATTTTACCCGCCAGCAAAGTCCTTCTGATTAGCCGCCGACGTAAAAAATATGTGTGTGTATGAGTGTGTGTGTGTGTGTGGTTGTGTGTGGGGGGGGGGGGACGGTGCGTGTGCGCGTGTGTCCGTGTGCGCGTGTGCGCGTGTGCCCGTGTGTGTGTGTGTGTGTGTTTGTGTCCGGGGGGGAAGGGCGTGTGTGTGTGTGCGCGTGTGTCCGTGTGCGCGTGTGTGCGTGTGTGCCTGTGTGTGTGTGAGTGTGTGCGTGTGTGCGTGTGCCTGTGTGTCTGTGTGTCCGTAAGTGTCTGCATGTGTAAGTGTGTGTGTGTGCGCGTGGATGCTGGGTGCCCTCATAACCCGGGAGGACACGGCCGTTGCTCGAGCGCTTGCGCCAGGCTTGCGCTTTGCTCGAGCGGTTGCGCCAGGATTGCGCTTGCAACCCGCGCCGTCGCGCCCCGCTGGCGCTGGCATGGCAGATTTGGGTCCAGGAGCGTGTTTCTTGATTGCTTGGGGCATGACGGGCGTCATGGCCCCCGCCCCCTCCCCAGCATGACGTAAGTTCCCCCCCCAGTGCGTTCTGGGCACAGCCGCCGTGCGCATCGGGATCCGCATCGGCGTCCGCATGGGAATCCGCGTAAGAGTCTGGTCCGCAATCGTCGTCGTCATCGTCATCGTCGTCGTCGACGTTGACGTCGTCGTCGTCGCTCTTCGCTCGTCGCTCGTCGCTCGTCGTCGTCGTGCTCGCGGACGCGGCTGGAGAAGACAAAAAAAAAACAAATCCGAGCCGATGACGGCCGTTTCGCGCCGGCGGCGTTTGGAAATGCCTAGGGATGACTGAGGACGGGTAGCAGCAGCATGTTGCTGGCGATGTGCACCACAGCGCCTGTGTACACCACAG